CCACTAATAGATTCTTAATTTATGTTGCAACTCATAAATGTGCCTTGTAGTGAGACAATTCCTCGGAAATAAAAGAGGTACTTATAAAAAATACTCTTAATTAATTTTTATTAGTTAATTTATTCCTTGCATCTTTATAGAATATATGATCTATGAAAATATTAATTGAGTTGTTTTCTAAGCCTTGGTTGAAACACACTTGTAGATAAATACTCCTTGTGTGATAGATGATGATCTACAAATACCAAATGTCAAAACACAATATATAAACTTAGATCCCTGCATTAAAGATCCAGTATGTTTAGCTTTTGCCCTTGGAAGGAATGGCATTCTACAAGCAACTTTTGTATTCTGAATAAATGTAAAGAATGCACGATTAAAAGTTTTATATAAGGATAGTCTTTATGGTTTTTTAAGAGCTAACTTCTTATTCAGTTCTATCATATTGCCTTCCTAGTGTGGAAATATTAAATACAGTGAGATGTGTTGATTAATAAATGCTTGAAAGACAGCAAAATTAACATTGATTTTAACATTATTTTAGAAATCTTAATATGATTCCATAACATTATTTAGAATTCTAGCAAATTCCGATTCTGTGTCTCCCTCTCTCTCTGCCCCTCGCCCGTTCATGCTCTGTCTCTCTCTGTCCCAAAAATAAATAAAAGTTGAAAACAAATTAAAAAAAAAAATAGAATTCTAGCATTGATTTTAGAATCCCTATTTAAATAATTTTGTTTGAATTTGTATTTAACTATCAAATTATGTTTGTGTATATGAGCACATGTACTTGGTGTAAATATAAAACATTTTTTTTACAAGATACATTTGAAATATTTCTATCCAATTGAACATTATCTCCTTAAAGTAGTTACCTTGAATTTTCAGTTTTGCAAGGTGGATAAAGATCTACTATACAAGATTTTGCCTATAGTTAAAAGTACTGTTATTATGCACTTAAAGTTTTCTTAAGACAGTAGTTCTAGGGGTGTCTGGCTGGCTCAGTTGGTGAAGTATGCAACTCTTGATTTCAGAGTTGTGGGTTCAAATCCCATGTTGGGTGTGGAGATTAATACTTAAAATCTTTAAAAAAAAAAAAGAGAGAGTAGAGGTAATGTTAAGGGTTCTAACAACTATTTTAAAAAGTAGTCACTTTAAAAACTATTCACAACTGAGATCGTGTTCACTTGACACATGTACTATAGATTTGGTTTAAAAAATCATCTCAGGGGCGCCTGGGTGGCTCAGTCGGTTAAGCGTCCGACTTCTGCTCAGGTCACGATCTCGCGGTATGTGAGTTCGAGCCCGGCTTCGGGCTCTGTGCTGACTGCTCAGAGCCTGGAGCCTGTTTCAGATTCTGTGTCTCCCTCTCTCTCTGACCCTCTCCCGTTCATGCTCTGTCTCTCTCTGTCTCAAAAATAAATACATTAAAAAAAAATTAAAAAAATAAAAATAAAAAATCATCTCATTAATTTAGCGTCTTCCCTTGTTTAGAATGATAAAAATAATAGCATTGTTTTTAAGCATTATTATGATTTTGATTTAATGTGTAGTTGCAATTTAAAAAGAAAATAAACACGTCATTTGAAATTTAACAAGCCTATGTAACTTTTAAGAATATTATCTTTGAATATGAAAAATGTGAAATTTAGTATTAATATTAAAAATATTAAAAACATTACCAAGTTGCAAAATTACAAAATTTTTGTGAAAAATCATCATATCAAGAGTTTTGGAATTCAAATAAACTTTAAAGATTATTCCATCTTTTCCACTAATAAGCAATGTGATCTTGAACTCAGCACTGAATGCCTCTGGACTACCTCAGTTTCCTCTTATGAGAAATGCATGATTTGTGCTGGGTGCTACAACTCTTTAGCATTAGCATTGTGGTTCTCTTACTGTAGATTGACTCTCTCATTTTAGGTGAGGAAATTGAGGCACAGAGAAGCCAGGTGATATTCCCAACATATGTAAGAAGTTAATGGAATATAATTGATTAATGGCAAGCTTTAGGTCTAGAAGATGTTGTCATTTGACCTCAGTATGTGTGTTTGTGTTACCTGCTTCTAGATATATGAAGAAAAATAAATGCAAGTTTATAGAATGAAAGTTTTTAAGTTCTTCACTGCAATATAACAAAGAAAGATTTTGATGTATTTTTGTAGAATATCTTAAATGGTGTAAACATATAAGTATACAAGATGTCTAACCTAACAATTTTTATTGTGGCCTTTTTATTGATTAAAACCATATTCTGCTAGGTCTTTGCTGCTATGTGAAATTTTTTAGAATTATTCAAATTCAAGTTGTTTTCAAAAACTTTCTGTGCAGTTCCATAAAGTAAGCCAAAAGTAGCTTGATTTAGGTAATGCTTCTTAAAGTGATATCAGCAACTGAGTTGTCTTTAGAGAAAACTTTGAGCATGTATTTTCAAGTTTGTGTTTTCAGACGACTTTGAAGATTAAAAAGTGAATAACCTGAAGAATCAGGTTTAATTTTTTTTTCTCTAACTCTGCATGTACATTGATGGAATATATTATGTACTTGAATTTTATTGTTGCTAAAAGATATCTGACTCATTTTTTTTAATGTCTAGGAATTTAAATTCATGGAACAGTCTCGTTCCCCATCAGTTTCACCTAGTAAGCAGCCAGCCTCAACTTCTTCAAAAACAGTGACCTTGTTTGAGCAGTACTGTAGTGATGGGAATCCATTTGAAATTCAGGCCAACCATAAAGATGAAGAAACAGAAGATGTCCTGGCTTCTAATGGGGTATGTAGTGTTTTTAAAACCTACTGTGGAATGTAAGTGAGATTTTCTTATTGAAAAGTGTTCTCTACCCAAGGAGCAAGGTGATTGGCTAGACCCATTTATCCATTCACCACCCATCTTCCTACCTATATGCTTATATACCTGCGATAACACTTGTACAGTAATGGCTTTATAGTATGCTCTGTTGAAAATGTCCTTTTGAAGAATACATTTTGCCTTTATGTTTATTTTGTGCTCTTATTAGATTTCTGTATGTTCTTACTAGATTACTGAATCAGGTAGGGGTAGTTTCTTCACTGCATATTTATGTGATTTGTTGGATAGATGGATTAGGGAATAGATCATCTGCACTTACTTCTCATCCTCTCTCTTGGGCACCTGAATCATTTTGTCCATGTTCCTTTATTTGAGAGAGTAATGTCTTGCTTGGTTACCTGGCCGGGATGTTTAGAAGTACAATGTTTTAACACTTTGAATAGCTCAAAAACATAATATAAACCAGAGTTTGTGTGAGTTAATGGAAAGGATTTGAAGGCAGTTGGAATGAATATCACCTTTATTATTTATTAGATGTGTGTTCCTTGGCAACTTACTTTAACTTTATGATCCTCCGTTTCCCTATATTTACAGTGAGGGAATGCTTACTTCACAGTTACCTGTGTTTATACAGTTTTTAATTTGGATGGGTTCTTCTGATCTTTGTCACTTCCAGACGGACCCTGTATGATTTTTGTTTTATTTTTTTCCAACGTTTATTTTATTTTTGGGACAGAGAGAGACAGAGCATGAACGGGGGAGGGGCAGAGAGAGAGGGAGACACAGAATCGGAAACAGGCTCCAGGCTCTGAGCCATCAGCCCAGAGCCTGACGCGGGGCTCGAACTCACAGACCGCGAGATCGTGACCTGGCTGAAGTCGGATGCTTAACCGACTGCGCCACCCAGGCGCCCCTGATTTTTGTTTTAGATTTAATGAAGCTGAAGTGAAACTGTTCAGATTTGACAAAAATCTGTTGAAATTGTGTGTGTATTTTAGTTTTGGCATTTTTATTTTTTGTTTAGTGAAGATATAATTTAAAAAAACATTGCCATGAAAGTATACCATTTGTTATGTTTTATCATAAAGTAGAAATTATTTCATAGGAAGCTGTACTTACATTTGTAATTTAGTGATTCTGGGTGACACTTTGCCTCTATAAAGCAGACTAAACTGAGAGGAATTAAAAGTCTTTTCAACATTTTGAAATAATATATCCACCTGTACTGATGATTTGCTAATTGAGTCGCGCATAGCACTTGATTCTCATTATTCGTGTCAATTGTGTTCTATAAAGTCCCTCTGAATGCTGAATTAGTAAATACAGAACCATTGTTCCTAGGTGAAATACGGGATTCAGTTCCTGTGAGCCTTTGGTCACATTTTCATCAACCGATCAATGTATAACCTTGTTTTATGTATGTTTTTGCTTAAAGACATCTAAGTTAATATAAAGTGTTGGTCTATTAACGTTGAACTCACAGCCAGCAGCACTATAATTCCTGCCTGAACGAAGCTTATCTAACACATGTATTTTTACTGTAAGATATACTACAGTCTTGTGCTCAGGAGCACTAGACAAAACTTTAGTCCTACACTTAGGAGCCATTCTAAACAGTGAAATCACCAGCAAAAAGCACAGATATTTTTTAAATGTGGCTCTAAATAGACAGTGAAATGTACATTGTTTAAGTAAGAGAGATGAAGGGATGCCTGGGTGGCTCAGTCGGTTGATCATCTGACTCCTGATTTCGTCTCAAGCCATGATCCCAGAGTCATGGGATTGAGCCCCGCATTGGACGCCATGCTGAGCATGGAGCCTGCTTAGAATTCTCTCTCTCTCTCTCTCTCTTCTCTCTCTCTCTCTCTCTTTTCCCCCCCCCCCCCGGTCCCTCTCCCCTGCTCATGCTCTCTCTCTCTCTCTCAAGTAAATGAAGGATTACCCATGGCTCCTGCTGAGGTCTGACTTCGGCTCAGCTCATGATCTCGCGGTTCATAAGTTCGAACCCTGTGTCTGGCTCTGTGCTGACAGCTCAGAGCCTGGAGCCTGCTTTGAATTCTGTCTCCCTCTCTCTCTGCCCCTCCCCTGCTCACACTCTGTCTCAAAAATAAACATTTAAAATTTTTTTAAATAAATTTTAAAATAAAATAAATACAATTTCTAAAAAAAAGGAAGTAAGATAGATGAGGCAAAAAGGTAGAGCGTTACCTTGTTTGCCTTCAGCTAGGAATGTGCATTTTGGGTAACTCAAAAGTTTCTGCATACTCTGTGCATATCCATGGTTGACAGTGAAGGTGTCGTGAATGTTGGGGTTACAAATAAAGTTTAGCAAGTAGGGAAGTTTGCAAACACAGAATCCTTAAAAATGAGGATCTCTTGTACTGTGGAATCATGAAGCTCTGTTGTTATAACCAGAATGTCCTGGTGTGTGTGAATTACCTTTCTGAATGTTATCACGATCACATTGTATACAAGTGGGTAAGAATGCCTATAGAATTCTTGTTTGCTGTTATTAATATGTGATCTAATCTTTCTAGGTACCACATAAGTTCTTGAGAGTTAAGGTCAAGATCTTACTATGGCCTGTTCCACTGCTTTAGACTTTCAAAAAAATGTGTTGAATTAGGGGACCAATTTCTTTCCATGTTGTCTTTATACTGGTCTCCTCAACTGGAATATGGGGATAAAACTTTGTCATAGAATTGTTTTGAAGATTCAGTGAGAAAATTCATGAAAACACTTAGCACTTAACACTGAAGAAATGTTAGCCATTATTTAATCATACTAACTTAAAATGCTAAGCGATAATGCTATTGCTGCAACTGCTTTCTTTCCTGAGTCTGGACTCCACTGTCCTCTCCCATGCTGGCACTGGGCCATGGTGCCATAAAGATGATGAAAAGGTTAGATAGGCACCCTTCCTCTCAAGGGGAAATCCACCATTTTTGCCCTTGCTCTCATTAGTCCCATGGTGCTAAGCATAATTTTCTAAGCCACCCTTGGAATTAAATCTCCTCATAATAAATTAGAACATTAGCATGTGTGTTGTAAGAGTTTATTACGCTGAATTAACACTTCCAGAGTGCCAGAATTGTGCACTCAACCTCTTTATAATGAATTAGCAAAATGGAAGTATCATGAAACGACTTGGAGGAAGAGACGAGATTTTTTGTTTTTAGTCAAATGTACACTCTTTTCCTCTCCTGAGAGCTATCAGGATTCTTGTTTTTGTTTGTTTGTTTTCTTTATGTGGAGATTTGATTTTTTAGGAGACATTTAGAAACTTTTGTAGGTATAATGTTTGTATCTTATTTTCCTTTTTTTCTTTTGAGCTGGTTAAGGTAGATGATGGAGAAAATGGAAATGATTACTATGATTCTTGATGGCAAAATTAAAAATGAATTACTAAGAACTTTCTTCCATAAACTACTTCTTAAAAATTGGATACTTTTGTTGTGTTGAAAGATTCCAAGAAAGGTTGGCTGTTCATACCCATTGTTGAATATACTGTGTTTTCTTCAGTATGAATCTGATGAACAAGAAAAAAGTGCCTATCAGGAGTATGACAGTGACAGTGATGTTCCTGAGGAGCTAAAACGAGATTATGTGGATGAACAGACAGGTGATGCACCTGTGAAAAGGTAATTGTTCTTAGATTGTATGCTTTTCTATGTTGTGCTTTTAAATACAGTATTTCCTTTAAGGGTTAAGAAAAAACAAAAAACAAAAATTAAAAATTTCTGTAGGTTATGATGTCATGTGACAAGTTGATATGTTTTTAAATGATTCCTGCAAGGTTAAAAAAATAGTTTTTATTTTTTTATATTGGGCATAATCAAAGGGCTCTTAATTTAGAGAGCAGTGGTTTTTGCAGAAAAACAAACTTTTTGATTTATAAAATCAGAGCTGTCTTTGGAGGCAGTTCCTGCTTCACATAAGTTAAAAGAACCTCAAGGAGGAAGGGCACCTGGGTAGCTCAGTCGGTTAAGCATCTGACTTTGGCTCAGGTCATGATGCCGTGGTTTGTGAGTTTGAGCCCCGCATTGGGCTCTGTGCTGACAGCTCAGAGCTTGGAGCCTGCTTCAGATTCTGTGTCTCCCTCTGTCTCTGCCCCTCCCCCGCTCATGCTCGCTCGCGCGCGCGTGCTCTCTCTCTCTCTCTCTCAAAAATAAACATTAAAAAAAAGGAAAAAAAAAACCTCAAGGAGGAAAGTAGTCATTTGTTCTGTATGTGGAGTTTCTGCCTCAATCTAGTAAATGCAGAGAGTCTCCACTCATTTTTCCGATGTCAATTACATTTACAAATATATTTGGGCCTTCTGTTAAGGTTCCTTCATTGTTTTGTTTCTATGATAAACTGTCCTGTTCAAAAACTATGATAATTACATAAGAATTTTTTGTCACCTTCTCCCACTTAAATGGGCTGATTCTTAGATGTGAGTGAGTTAATTTCATGACTGAACATCAGACATTTAGTGACTGCAAATATACTTTATTCTTAATGATAGATTTAAGTACATTCTGCCCTACTTTTTACCCCCAAAGTACCTAGTTAGTACCTATTTAATTTGAAACCCTAATCAATATAATTTCTCTCCTCAAAAATGATCTACTTGTGTGGTAATGGATATTTTAATGTCAAAAATTGTTTCCATTTTTTTTCACATATATATGATGTTTAAATATCTCCCATCTGTGATCTGTTATGAACCAAGTAGAACTGTGTTGTTGAACTTCTTCACTGGATATTTCGGGTATATTTTGGCTAAAAGGAAAGCTCTAATTGAAATGAACATGTAAGATAGTGTCTGCCAGTATATGTGTGTATATACTTGCATTTTTTTGTAGGGTTATGCAGTTACCCACCTAACTTACCACTAAGAAGTATGAATAATGTGAACTACAACCTGCATTCAATCAATTACTATCGATTCCAACCTCAAAGTGTCTCTAGAATTTATCAAAATGTCTTGTATTTCACTGATATCACCGAAATTCATGCAGAAATCATCTCTGTGCCAGATCATTGGATCAGCCCTCTTACCTTGGCTACCTGTGTCTAGTTTTACCCCCTCCTAATCCATTCTTGGATACAAATGTAGATTTTTTTTTCTTAATCTAAAAATTTGATCATGTCATTTTTCTGCTTAAGATTTGTATTCAGGTTAAGATTCATACTCTTTAGATGTGATTGCCTTCAGTGACCTGGCTTTTACCTTTCTTCTTATCACTTTTCCCTCAGCCCACGCATTCTCCATGCTGGCATTGCGAACTCTTTATGCTTCTCTGAGCACACTCTCTTCTTTTACCTCTGTGTCCCCCTTTTTTCCTGTACTTATCACATAAGTTCTACTTTTTCTTTGAACCTAGTGTCATACCTAACCCCAGACTCTGTCATTATACCTTATGTTTTAGATATTAGGTTTAGATTCTATGTTTTCATATTTATAAGTCTGAAATCAGGATGTTTGGTACATTTGATACAGAATTTCCCTGAAACATCTATTTTTTAAAGTAACATAGCTTTTTTTAAAGTTGTTAATTAATGTCTTTGAATCAAAGAAATAGAGTATAGTACTTTAGTTCTCTGTTTATGAATTACTCTTCTCCTCTAGACTGTAAACTTTCTAAGGACAGGAGATAATCTTTATATCCCTACCTGATACATGGTAACATTTTTCATAACTAATTAAAAATGGAGGATAGATCCTAATCTCAATAACTTACTGATTTACTAGATGACAACCCTAATTGCAACTCTGTTTTGTTTTTCCATATTAAGCGTTTCTAGGGAAACTTTAAAAAGCAGGAAGAAATCAGATTACAGTCTAAATAAAGTGAATGCACCCATCTTAACAAATACAACACTGAATGTAATAAGACTTGTTGGTAAGTAGCTACACCTTTTAAAAAAAACATTGTTAGTTAAATTAGTCTACTTTTGTTACTTTTATTGGGGTTTTCATTGTACACTCCAATGCTTACCACAAGGAAGGTTTTAAGACTGTTAGAGGTCAATGCTTTCTCATCATAATTGTTTCAAATAGTATAATACTAATATTAATGTCAGTTTTTCTTTTTCAGTTAACTACTTGGTATTTGTGTCTTCTACTTTTTCTAAAATATTCCAGTTATTTGGTATGTAATGAAAAATTCTCTATGTGAATTAGAGGTGTGTGTAGGATGATGATAGTACCCATTTCACATTTATACTATGTCATGCTTAGTTCATTGATCTTCACAATCTTCCTGTCAGACAGGCAGAGTGGATAGTGATTCTCTGGCATTTTCAGACATAAGAGCTAAATGTTCACACCATAGAAAGAGTTATTCTTATTACAGATAAGACCTTTATTGATGATTTTGTAGAAAGCAAATAATGTGAAGAAATGCCATTTAAAATATTTAGGTTTGAAGATGATGTGGAATTTTTAACATTCAAAATTTCAACATTTTATATGCCATCCTAACCTTTATGTCTCACAAGTAAGTCTGTACATTTGGCATATAAGTTATAGAGATGTCTTCTCAAATTAATTAAGTCATCTATACCAGTCAGGAATTTTAATGGTGTTCTAGAACAACAACAAAAAACCTCTGTATTCTATATGGAGATGATAATATCCTGCTGCCTAGTTTGATTACTCTTGACTCTGATAAAATAGTCTGTATTCTTGAAGATAATTTCTAAATTTCATTAGTGAATAGGGCAAAGTAGACAAAATGTTTCTTAGAAGTCCCATTTCCTTTAGGAAAAATAGTGGAAAAGTAATAATGAATTGAGAGGAAAAGAAAAATTTGTATATTTTTATGACACACCAAAAAATGACCATATTCTAAAGTGTTTTTTTGGCTGATTATTGCCAGGGAAATTAGCCTTTCTTCTTTATCCAAGAGAGCTAACTGAACATAGCATTATGAGTTCCTGTCTAGAATTTATAGAACCAGAACTGGAAGGGTTCTGAGAGGTCATCTGGTATAAATTCCTATAAAACTAGGATTTCTTTCTTTAATGCCCCTAATTGTGGTGGTCACCTAGCTTTTGTTTCATGTCTCACAGTGAGTGACTGTACGTCTTATTTTTGCGAGACTACTCATTCAACTATTAGACTGATTTAATTGGTAGAAATCTCTTCCTTGTGATAAATCAATTTCTTTTTCTCTGTACTTTTATCTGTTGGTCTTAGTTACGCCTTTAAAAGTAAAAAGAGTAAGTCTATACTTTTTTCTCCTATTCTTCCCTGTGATCACTTTTCAGGTCTGGGTGGTAGTTATACTGTCCTTCCTTTCTGTATGCTCCACCAGTTCTTTCTTTGGGGTCAGTGTGCTCATTTCCCTTATGTGGTTCCCACTGACAAATATTCCAAAATCCTTGTCATCCTCCTCAGCTTTCTGGACTCACTGTAGTTTCTGGTGTCTGAACACACTGCTTGAGAGATGTAGTTTAATGAAGTCATCTTTTGCCTGGTTGTGTTGAAGGAACAAATCACCCTAACACATCAGTGGCTTTCAGCCACAAAAGTTTACATGATGTACTGTATTGGCTCCTGATCACCTTTGATCTGTTTCATGTGTCATTCTGAGATTCACGCTGAAAGAATAGTACCAATTTGGAACATGGGGAAAAGAGCAGGAGTCAGTCCATGTTATGACCCTTAAGGCTTCCACCCTGATGTGGTACACTGACTTCCTGTGACATATGTCACTGGCCATGGTAAGTCAGGCTTGACTATTGGAGAGAGAGGTACACTTGCGCCCAGGAAGGCACTACAGGTTAAGATTTGTATTCAGGTTAAGATTCATACTCTTTAGAGTATGAATACTCTCCTACAGTAGAGGAGGATGCATAATCTTCTTACAGGGAAGGGGAGTGGGTTGGGATAAATGGGGAAAATAATACAATCAATCCCATTTAGTGATAGTTTATATTTTTAACCTCACCTAGTTCAAAAAGAACTAGAGGTTATCAACTACTTTTACTCTAAAAGACATACATTTAGTAGAACTAAATCAAATATAAGGCTGAAACAAAATTGAGGAGGGGGGCAAATCATGTTTCATTCAGTTTAATGCAGACAACAGATGCAAATCTTCACTTCTTAGCAGACATAAGGAAATGAAAAAACTGCATTCTGCTATTCTCATTATGTAAGAAATGGATAGAAATGTGCTATTGGTGCTAAATTCAGAAGTCAGTAACAACAAATTCTTATAGAAGGATTACTGATTGACATAGTGGACATTGTTTTCTAATAGTGGATTTAAGAAATGGGGGAAAAGTTGTGTTCTAACGAGCTTTTGGTATGTCAACCCTATAAAGCAGACAGTCCTGAATAAAACCTTACTCAGTGAAGAGAATCTGACGATTGTAATTGCAGCCTTCACCACCACCAGATCTTTTACTAGAATTTCAATTAGTAAACAATGCCTAGTATGCTATTTTAACTCTCACATCTTCCCATTTAGGGCTGGGATTAGGTGCTTCCATTATTCCCTCCTGTAGATTTTTATGCCTACCGCTTTCTCTCCCTGGGATGTCTTTATCTTCAGTTTGTACATATTCATAAAATACAACTTTAAGAGAACCACTCACTAAGGGGTCTCCAACCAGTAAATGCTATAGAGGTGCTTGAAGATAATAAACCCGCAAAGGTAATGTCTCTTCTTACAAAGCCAGAAGTACAGTTGTGTAAATAAGGTTGATTAATTTTGGGTGCCTGGGAAGATGAAGGAACTAATTATTCAATAGTTGGGAGGCACATTTTAGAACATTAAAGGCATATTCAAAATGTCCTTTTCAAGTAGTATTTATTTGGCAGGTAATTAGGAGAGATTAAACAAAAAAGTGTTAATGGGGTTTCCCAGCCCTAGGTGGTACCTAAATCTGTTAGAAAAGCCCAGGGAGCCTTTCACAAGTGCAGAGAACTAATCAGAATGCTTGCTTGAGTAAAGAGAAAATTCTGTTAACCTGACAATTTCTTGCAGAGGTAGAGAAATTTTAAGGAATGTGTCTCATCACTGAGATAGGCTTCCTATTCAAGATTTTCTTCTCCTGGAGGCAGCTCTCACTTGAGCAGGTATGATAGGTTTGAGAGGGGCAGAAGTCAGGTTGCCAAAATCCATGCTTATCAAAACTACAGACCTTAGGATAAAATTATTTATTACATTACTTTAGCAGCTGAAAATCATAACACACCAGCACGTCATGTATCCAGACTTAACATGAAACCAGAATAAAGTTATCTCAGAAACTTTAATATTTTGATATGTAATGTTTAAGGAAAAAAATATGTCATTATTTAATTTAGATTACATTCCAATATTTTTGTTTCTCTACAAGATACTTACATTTTGTTATTTATATGAAATACTTTTAAACAGTTTTAAAACACTTTCTGAGCTGATAGCTCTATATACAACATGATATTTTGAGAGGATGACCCAAGAAGTGTCATCCTTCAGCAAAATGTGCAAGAAAATCATATAGGAGATTTGGGAGGCTGAAATAGAATATTCAAAAAACAGAATAAAAATAAATAACAATGAAATGATAGAATAAAAGCTGGTAGTTAAAGACTTAGGTAATAGACTGTGGTCTTCAGTTCATTGTTCAATGTGTTTTTCTAAATTTTATGAGCTGAACTAACTTTTCCTTTCCTTTATGGCTCATTTATAGCATTTCCAGCTTGCCTTTATGTGCTATTTATATCCATTAATGGTGTTTCAACTTAGTGCGCTGTGATAAGAATAGCTAACATCCTTCCAGCTCAGATTCTGTTCTTGCTCCTCCCCATCAATTTGTCAGCCCCTACAGATGAGAACGGTTAGAGTCATCTTTGCAGCATATAGAGCATTCAGCCAGTGCTTTTGTAGGTGCCCAGTATACTGAACTGACAAACCTTGATTTTTAAAATCTTGAATATTGGAGCAACACTTTCTCCTCCTCTTTTGTCTTAATCAACAGTGGAGGAACACACACACAGCACCTTCTCTGTACCCTTGAATTTGTTCCTCTGTGTAAAAGTGTGGCTCTCTAAATGAATTTCCCTGGGCCAGCTTTCATGTGGTAATTGCTCTGTTATTTATGTGAAATATTTTAAAATATTTGTTCTCTGTGCTGATGAGCTGGGTAAGGCAGGCCCACTGTTCCTCTTGGTGGTATAGTTCTCCTCCATCTTGTTCCTTGGTTGGTTTCTTTGCCAGTCCCTCCGTGTCTCCTCTCCATGAGTATGCAGGACCCACAGTCTAGATTTTAGGATGATAATGTAAACGATGCTCTTTCTTTTGCGTTTCCTCATGAGGTTAGGTTTCTTTTCTTTGTTTCTTTTTTTTTTTTTTTCATGTGTATTTATTTTTGAGAGAGAGAGAGAGAGAGAGAGAGAGAGAAAGACAGAGCGTGAGGAGGGAAGGGCATAAAGATTGGGAGACACAGAATCCGAAGCAGGCTTCAGGCTTTGAGCTGTCAGCACAGAGCTCCATACAGGGCTCGAACCCAGGAACTCTGAGATCATGACCTGAGCTGAAGTCAGTTGCTTAACCAGCTGAGCCACCCAGGCGCCCCTAAGTTTCTTTACCTAGCACTCTGTACTTGCCCCTTCCTGCATTCGTCATAACTATAATTATTTTAAAATGATAGCAGTAGCTAAGATTTCTTGCTCCCTTGTTATAGGCCATGTAAACACTTTACACACATTTTCTCATGAATTCTTTACAATACCCCTTTTATACACCAAATAATTAAAGCCCAGAGGTAAATAACTTGCCTAATGTCACATAGCTGCTAACTAGTAGAGCCCAGATTGTCTGTTCCTAGAGCCAGTAAGTTCTTTTCATGCTTCACAACTGGTAAAGGAAATCAGGAATGTTGATTCTTACACCTGGACGAAGTT